TACTTAAAGCTTTGTAATACTTACCAAATTTCTTCGCACTTGACTTTTCATAATTTTACTGTTAACTTGAATAATTTTATTGTTCGGATTTAATATAACTTTACATATACCGACTGCATATGCAATCTGTGATTTTGATGCATTTCTTGAATTCAGCCAAAGTTTTTCTAAAATTCAGGACAAATATGATAGACTCCTAGGTTATTTATCATTGTTCAATGGCTTACATAAATTAGAGCAGTAACAGATATTACTTAATATCTTAGGGGGTGAGTGATAACAAAGATCTTAGGTTACACACAATATGTCAATCACATGATAATATTAATCACATGATAATTATTTGATAAAGTGGCTTAGCAAAATTTATTAAGTCACATACATTTAAATCGCATACACATAAAATTTACTCATTTTCCATCCGAATTATAAGCCTTTAGTTCAAGTTCCATTTAATTATATGATCTCTTTTGTTAAGTTAGGAGAAGCAAAAAATCGTCGAAAGATGAGTTTTGTTATTTCTTGGGCTGTCCTTGAGTAGTAGAATGCATTAATCGTTTATGGTTTGCTAAAAATGTGAGAGTGGGAAAATATTTTTGACAAAGAGGATAGCAAAGTCGTAAGTATATATATTTTTCAATAGATGCACAATAGGCATCATAACCCAGTATTTTCAAGAGATCTCCATACTGAAGAAGATGAATCAGGTTTACAAATTAGCAATCTTTGACTTTAGTAATTAGTGGTAAGAAACCATTATTCAGATGAAGAAAGTCCATGGCTTCTTTGGCTCTAAGTGGTCCACAACAGCTAGTATTTGTGCATCATTTTATATCAAGAGAATAGATGCATAAATTACAGTGGATTTCAATTCAAGACTATAGTACCAAACATTCATAATGGGTATATGTTATTTCTGATATTTTTTGTTCTTCTTTTTTCTCCTTTTTAATTCTTCAACCTTTACTTTTTCCGTTCTCTCGAACTGTATATGCTCAAATGGATTCATAAGTACATTAATATAATAAGCGTCAACCTTTCTTCTGAAAATCAAATCACAATGCCAAATTTCACAGAGGACTTCTCTTGAATAACGAAAGTTCTGAGCAGCTAATTCTAGATCTATAACTTTGCCTTGTGTATTCAAATGTATACCAAAATGGTTGATTGGCAAAGTAATACCAGCAAGTTTACTAGACAAGGTTGCCATGCCTCTTTCAACTGGATTATACTTTGACTGAACTGAGGTATGTGTTCATATGCTTAAGAAATCCAAATCAAACTCCTTGAAAAGCTGACAATAGGCTTTGATATTTTTTAAGTGCCTAGGATTCTCATCAGATTCTTCGTCTACCAATAAAATCCATATGGGTCGAATTATTCTGTTTATTTTTATCACATCATCATATTGTGAATTCAAAGCAAGGCTTTTCAGGTCTTACATATACATATGTAAGCGAAGATATGCCAATAGACTATTGGGGACGTATAAAAATTGCCAACTTTCCTGTTCACAATTCGTCATTAGATTCATTTGGATTTATCATCAAATATACTGATGGGATTAATTTTTGTCTGAATTCCATAGGAAAATCATGATCTGCTATGGTTGTAGGTTCATTAATAAATTGTAATGTGCAGAATGTATGACTTACCGCAGGTACTCTGAGTCTGATCTTTGCTTTGTCATCTTAAGAGATGACAACTGACACATCAATAAACGTGCTAGTGAATTGCTTTGCACATTTTATTGATGTGAGGCAATAATAGCTATCAGGATGTTCACGCATCTCAGTGCATAAAATTCTAGTGATCGCATCCCACGCTAGATGGTAATACGCTTTTGCAGCGATTGAGTTTGATTAGCGAGGTAAAAGGTAATTATTTAATTTGATCTTTGCTATAAATTTCGTATCTTTCTTCAAGATTTTTATGAAGATTTTCTATGATCTGAACTTTGACAGCTTCTTTTCATCATTTTGCATCAGCTGATCCAAATTCCACGTAATCGTATATATATTCGTGTAAATTCAGATGTTTAAAGAGAAATAGTGGCTTTACAGGTTTATCGTAGCGGATAACCTCTTGATTTTTGATAAGTTATCTTAATTTATTTTCTTTGCAATTTTGGGCATATTTGGCATTTCTTTTTAACTTGTCAATTCTATCTTTATTAGATTTAACTTCGTCCCGCAAGTTTTCTATTTTTTGGTATATGTCATTATAAATCTGAGTATCACTAGTAATATTGTAAATCTGCTCAAATTCATAAAATTTTTTTTAGCTATTTGAATTGCATCTGCTATTTCCTTTGAGCTGAAGCATTAGCAGGAATTTCTAGTAGAGGGTTTATTGAATTAATGGTGGAAGGGAAGGAAGGATTCAATTTTTCTGTAGGTACAGAATGTTTATATCTCATTGATTGTATGTCGTATAGATATAGTGTTGTAGTTATATAGTTCCGAATTATATTATTAATATCATTGACACTCTTTTTTTTAATATTATTCCACTCATTTATGGCTTCTTAACAAATAGCAGCATGATTTGAAGCATGGTTACTTGTTTTTACCATAATATTATATACATAAACATTTGTAAACTCTTAATATTTATTAGTTGGTGAGTAATATATTGGCTTTTTATTAAATTTAGGGCTAAAAAAAAAATGTTTGGTGACTCATTTTAATATTTAAGACAAAATATCAAAAGGGAATTTTATAAGTATAAAATGCCAAACATGAAATAAGCGTGTTAAAATTTCGTGAATGTTAAATAAAACCACAGCTAATTTTTGGAAAGAACTATTGTGAATTTTTCAATATTATTTTCTTTTTAATAAATGGACTTCTTTTTTATAACAAATGAACTTCTTTTAAATTTAAGTGTTAGATTTTAGATTATAAACTATATAATCATTTTTTTTATTACTATATAAACTATAATAGACTATATAAATAAACTATGATCATTTTTTTTATTTATCACCATATAAACCAATGATGGGTTTTGGACTTATTTTTTAATTTTAAATATTTTGGACAAGGTTTTGGACATATGAAATTGTGTCCAAAACCTGTCCAAAATCTGTCTAAAACTGTCCAAAACTTTCCAAAATTGTCCAATTGCCCAACACTGATATAAACTATACTTTTTGCAAAATATAATAAACTTTCTTAAAGTATAAATAGTAAACTTTTTTTTTGTTTACTTTATTAACTTTATTTTATCAGATATATAAAATCATATCATGTGACTCTGCAGCATATCTTACCTGGAGGAGAGGGGTAGGCGTTTATATCAATATGATTTTAGGTAATATCTGTCATAGCCTTTATCAAAGTATTGCTTGACAGAAGCCAATGCATTAGAACTTATCGAGGTAAATACATTTTTTCAAATATGGTGAACAAAGCTTCCTTTGTTCTAGAATTCAGCGAACCTCAGAGACTTCTATGCTTATATGCAGTATTATCATAGGACGTGAACATGAACATAAATCAGACTGGATCAGACTGTCAGTGTTCATGTTCGAGATTTTTTTATGTTCAGGACTTTTTGTTCACATTAATGCTGGCCATATCTCTTGTTAATTCTGGCCAAAGGACTAATATCGGTCTATATCCCAACTGTCCTGCGGATATAGTTCTGGATATGGACTTTCAGACATTCTGTGTCTGCTAAAAATCACTGGAATAACGTCTGTATACAACACTGCTTATATGTAAGCTATTAAAAAATAAATTTATTTGTTATTTAAAAGCTTAAATTAATAAAGCAAATTGTTTTAATATTACCTGTCAATCTATGTTTTTGTTGTAAAAAACCTGCTAGCGGATTTCACTTAAATTTTCAAAAAATTCATTATAGTTTTTAACTATGTAATCTATCGTAGTATTATAAAATTCATTCTTATTAAGATATATATTTTCATTAAATAAATTTTTTGTAACATTATTTACGATGTCCTAAATAAATTAAATATTAATAGTAAATAATAGTAATATAATATAAATATAAAAATAAAAGGTTTATTACCTTTGCAAATTCCTTATTTAAATTCTTTTCTTCATAATTCACCTCCATTTTTTCAAACCTCTCTTCAATCTTCTTTTATCTTGTTAATAATTCTTCAGTCTTTTTTTTTATTTTCATATTTTATCTTAAGATCCTCTTCTAATTCTTATAGTCCTATCTCTGTCTGTTTATTAAAAATAATAATAATTTAAATAAAATAAAAAAAATTATAAAAATAATTACCATCTAGGTCGATAAGACTATTTCTTCAAATGTTTGTGTAATCAGTCTCAGATGTTCTCTCTCTCATTCTCTTTGATTACACTAGTTGAAATAGTCCAAATCAGCTATAAATTAGATGGGCCAATTTTGGTACTATTTTTGGCAGGTTTGTTATTTTCTGATCAGCACAATCTACACCGATCGACCCAAACAGATAATACAAATCAACGCCAATCGATAAAACCATTTGGCATCAATTTAAAATATAAATTCTATCATAAATTAACTTCAATTTGACCAAATCGATGCCAATTAACTCAATCTGATATAACCATTCGACATCAATTTGGAATATAAATTCTATCATAAATCAGCTTCAATTCGACTAAATAAGTATTATAAAAAATCAGCTAATAGCAATATATTATTTATTAGCAAATATTTAATAATAAAAGCTAATACAAAAACCAATTTGTTCTATATTAAAAAAAAATAATGATAAATGATAAAAAAAATCGTCTTAAAATCCCCCAAAATCATCCAAAATATCTATATAATATAATAATAAATGATAAAAAAATCATCCCAAAATCCCCCGAAATCATCCCAAATATCTATATAATATAATAATAAATGATAAAAAAAATCATCACAAAATCCCTCGAAATCATCCCAAATATCTATATAATATAATAATAAATAATAAAAAAAAATTGTCTCATTTTCCTTTCAAAAATCCCTTGCAATCAATTTATTCTTCCAGATTTTCGTCATTACTTTCCGCTGTAAAAGAAACTCTCTTCTACTTCTTCGTTTTTCATAATTAACTCTTCTTCTATACTGACTCCTGCATCTTCTTCTGTACCATAAATGATATTCGACGATTGGTCATTATAAGACCATTTAGGAGCGTTCAGGAGATATGGCCAGTTGTATTGCTACAATTCGTCATTATATTTTCGTTTTCTTTGAATTTGAGACAAAGTTGCAGCAATTGGATTGAGTATATTTCTTAAAAGATTTTTGAGCTAAAGAAAAAAAGTAGAAAGAATGTTAGTATAAACATATTAAATAAAAATCAAAAAAATGTAAATTAAAAAAAAACCTCAGACAATTGCCACGAATAATCATATACAGCGATAATAGATTTTTATTTATCATCATCCATTTCACTGATTTTGGACAAATGGTATTGACGAGTGGTTAGCATTTGGATTAAAGGCTGCTTTTTATATTTTGTAATTCGCTTATCATTAATTGAATATAATGATTTAGCAGCCTTTACCCTT